GAGAGATCTTATTTTAGCGTGGCTTTTCTCATGTTGTATTAATGATTGCAGGACTGGTCGGTTTCTTCTTCGATCATCCAAGAGTATCTTGACCCCCTCCATCTTGGAGGAATTTGAAGATGCGCTAAATCAAGGAAGTAAATCTGCAGTTGATGCCTTTATCAACTTGAGAAGCAAAAGCATCCTGCATTTTTTCGCTGCCATTGGCAAATTTTTGGGTCTTGAGGTAATAATTGTTTGCCTCAGCTTTTTGCTCAAGTTCAATTTTGGAGTTGGGAGTGTTGATTTTTGTGTTTAATGCAGGTGTATGAACATGGTTTTGGTATAAACAAAGTTCCTAAAAACCTCTCGGATGGGTCAAGCACTCTGACTTTGGGATTCCCCGACTGTGAAAGCTCTCATCTCTTGCTCATGGAGCTCGAAAAGGACTTCACACCATTGTTTAAATTAGTGGAAACTCAGATGGATGGTTCAGGAAAACCTCAACCTTTCAATGATCTAAGCAATGTTTTGCGAGTTAAGGAAATCGATATTGGGCAGATACGGATTCTCGAAGATGATATTAACTTGATTACATCCGATGTGGTTGGATTCGTTTCTTCATTCTCAGATGCTGAAGGCATAAACCGAGCATCTGGACACCATCCTGGATTAATTGACGAGGCCTTGGCAGAAATGAGTGGAAGCCAATTGAGTTTCTCTAGCATTGTAGATGAAGTGTTTGGACTTCAAAAAAGGACATTGGCTCTTGAATCAAGTGATGGGCATGGTTCAATTCCTAAGAATCTTTCTGCTGTTAACGGCTCTGGAAAAGCTCCATTGTTGACTAGCTATCATTCAGATTCCTCGTATAATCTGCAGGGTCCCTTACAATCTAGCTCTTATAACATGCTATCATCTCAGAAGATATCCATCTCTAACCCTGACCAGGAGTTATCCATGATACTGTCTCCATCCCTATCTTCTGGGAATGGAGTCTCCGAATCAGGCGGTAGACTGGTCACTGAATCCTCATTGTCACCTCTTCCCGTATGTAAGAACATTTTTCCATAGCTTTATTTCACCTTCATAGAACTTTCTCAATATCAGAATTCCTAATTTCTTTTATTGCAGCTCAATCAGCTGATCTTGCTACTTCTTCTAGTGGTCCTTTGTTGCGAAAAGATCAGAAGTCCCGGAAACGTTTAGCTTCAGATTTGCTAAGATTAATCCCATCCCTCCAGGGAGTGGAAGGTGTTGCTAGTCCCAGTAAGAGAAGGAAAACCTCCGAATTGGTACAGAATGAATTAGTGAAGAGTTGGAGCCCTGCATCACAGACCCTATCCACTGCCGTGGCAACATCAACAAAAACTATTGGATGCAGCTATGGGAATCTCATAGCTGAAGCAAACAAGGGGAATGCACCTTCAAGCGTTTTTGTCTATGCTCTTCTCCATGTGGTCAGGCATGCTTCACTGTCCATAAAGCATGCCAAATTAACTAGTCAGATGGAGGCACTGGATATTCAATATGTTGAGGAAATGGGACTAAGAGATGCATTTTCAGACATATGGTTCCGGCTTCCATTTGCTCAAAATGATTCCTGGCAACATATATGCTTGCAGCTTGGTAGACCTGGAAGCATGTGTTGGGATGTGAAAATAAATGACCAGCACTTTAGGGATCTCTGGGAACTTCAGAAGGGAAGTAAAACCACACCGTGGGGATCTGGAGTTCACATTGCGAATTCTTCTGATGTTGATTCCCATATTCGTTATGACCCTGAAGGTGTTGTTCTGAGCTATCAATCTGTAGAAGCTGATAGTATAAAGAAGCTTGTGGCCGACATACAGAGGCTTTCATATGCTAGAATGTTCTCCCTTGGTATGCGGAAACTACTTGGCAT